AAGCAGTATGTAGATTTTCTATGAGCCCATGGATAGTCCTGTTGTTTTAGCACTAGTAGTTTTAGTTTTAGATTTAGTTTTACTACAGACAGATTTAGTTTTGCTCCAGGTCTGTTACTAGTTTTTTTTTTTTTTTTCTTCTTCTTCTTTTTAATAAACACTCCACAAGCTCAGATTTGTCCAAATCCACAGCTAATGTGTTTTTCAGAGTGAATTGGGCAAATTACTGAAAAAGGGTAATAAATCCCTACAAGCCTCTTTCTGGGCCTGTGGCAAGTTTTCCTATTCCTGTGCTGCAATGCTAAAACACACCTGAACCCACAGCCAGTCAAGACCAGTGCATCCTGGGAGTAGAATCACTTCCCACCCTGCTATGGTCTTTCTGCTCCTGAGGTGGACTCATTCTCTGTTGCTGCTTCTAAAACCACTGGTGAAGCTGACTTGAGTGTAATACATATCCACTGAGGTCAAAAAAGTCCACTTGGAACTAAAGTGGGTCCAGAGGCATGGGTAGGCATTGGTCTGAGGACAGGGACCATTCAGACCTGCTGGGTATAACTCCTTGCTGTTTGCTAAATGTGGAAAAAGAGGTCGAGGAGGAAACCCTTCAGCTCCCCAGACAGGTCCTAGGTGGGTCACACCAGGAATTCACAGTCATTAGACAATGTGTAATCATGGGGGTGTACATGAAGCCCACCTGTGGTTGGCGATAATACACACATCAAAAGAAGTCTGTCCCACGAAAGTGCATGTCTTAGCTTATTACTGGGGCAAATCCAGAAGTTTAATCCACAGACATTTGTCTAGGGATGGCCACCATCAAGATCTGCTCAGTGTTAGGCTCTACTGGTTGAGCACTGAGTCCCAAGACTGGGCTCCTTGTTGTCTATCCAAGGCCTGTGGATGGTGATAAAGGTAGCTCCAAGGCCACCCATCCTGGGAAACTCTGAGTCACAAATAAGTCTCACAGTCACTTGGCCACCCAAAATCATAGGGTTGTACATCAAGCTCACTTGAGGCTGATGGAAACATGGTGGAATGAGTCCTTCCCCCTAGATTACATCTGCCTGGTGCCAGGCAACTCTAGAGGTTTTATCTGAAAACACCACTGTAGGGCTGCAAACTTTTGAGCTTTATCAGATGCTGGGTCTCAGGGCATTGGGCTGCAAGGCCTGTTCTCAAGCTCCCTCTTCTTCCCCATTGCAGCATTGTAGTCTTGCTCTACAGTCTCCTGGTGGTTGAGGGAAGGGCAGCAGGGGGTTGCTTAGCTGAGGATGCTCCAAATATTTGGTCTGTGGGTACAGACCTAAGAGCAGAAGTCATAGTTACTCTGACACTGGTATTCAATTCCTAATCCCCCCACTTACTCACCCACCTAAGCAGGAGGCATGTCTCTGCTGCTGTGCTAATTGGAACTTGGAGAGGGGTGACACAGGCAACTTTTTCTTTCCTGTTTTCTTCAACAGAACTTTTCTTACTGTTGTAATAAAACAAGGCATTGTGATCTGTCTTCTGCTTTCCCTGACTCTTATAAAGGTGATTTGCTGCACCAATAGTTGTCATGTTGGTGTCTTTTTGGAGAAGTAATCACCAGAGCATCTTTCTCAGCCAGTCTTACTTATTTGCTTCCCAGAGCCGCTGTGTTAGTCTTAATTGGGCTACTTCAGATGTAAACACATACATCCTGGTTAAAATTCATATGAAAAAATTTCAATTGAGGGAAAAAAATGTTTGTTTTCTTAATAGCCTGATTTTGATCTTACTCTGTTGGAGCAAATGATTTTTACCATTATTTTGCATAAGGAGACTTTTGTTTTTTCTTGTTGTCCAGCCATGCTCAGATTCTAAGAGAAATCATACTTCCTCTAAATGTGGTGCCAGCTCTGATTAGAGCCTTTTATCCTTATGTTAGAGGAAAGTTTCATTTCATCCTGTCACACTTAGGTTCTCATTTAATCAAGTTTACAATTTGCCCTTTGCCAATTCTGTAAATTTAATTTTCCACCATTTTCACACATGCGCTCTCAGTTCCAGCTCTTTCAGATTCCTTAGTTCCCTACTATAAGCACTTGATACTTTTGATTTTTAATGACGTTTCATTTAAAAACTTTTAGATGAACCTCAAATATATAGAACAGACAAAAACAGAGTTCCTTCTGTGGAAGCAGGGAAGTGATCCCACTCCATCCAGTTATCTTCCTCTAGATCCAATTCATGGATTCTGCCCATTTGACTTGTTCTCCTTCATCTAGTCCATTCTTCCTTATCAGTGTTCCCCATCTTGGAACACTTCTCTAGCCTGCTGTATTATCTGAGATGTCAGAGTAGTTCAGTCTGCCCACCTCGCAGTACACCATGCTACACTATTAGAGGTTATCATTCATTAACACTACATCAAACACTGGGAGCAAATAGGACTCTTTCACTTCTGCTTTGTATTCAAAACATATTTGATGAATAAAAATTTCTACTAGAATATTTCTGCTTTAAATCATGTTTCTGTATTAGAGAGCTTAAAAATGAAAGGAATAATGGAACTTAAAGATAACATGAATTTTCCATGAGCTTTTCAAAGACCTCCTGTATATTAGTTTTATTTAAATGTGATCACTTCTTGATTTTTCAAAATTGTGGACATTAAAATATTTAGAATTATGATTCAATAGCATACTATCTTTTATTTTTCTGGAAAGTCACAATGTTTGGCTGAATGTAGTTGAGCCCCAAGAGAAAGCTGACTCAAGAGTCACAGTTTATATTCCCTTTTATGCTGATTCCCATAAATTGTACAGCCTAGGGTTAGGAAGTGTCATCTCTTAGACCAATGTTAAGCATCAAAAAATGAGCTACCTCTGAATTTTTAATTTAATTTTGATATTTAAACCCGAGAAATAATTACTGCAAGTTACATTGTTACTTAGTAACATATTGTGTTTGTGTATGCATGTGTCTGTCTGTCTTTGAATGTGTGTGCATGCATATATGTGTGTTGTGGCAAGAAAGGGCTAAAGTGTAAAGTGTATAAAATGTAGACTGTGGAGTAAGTTTTCAGAGGAACAGTCTAAAAAAGAAAATTAAAACCGGCGCCATGGCTCACTAGGCTAATCCTCTGCCTTGCGGCACCGGCACACCAGGTTCTAGTCCCGGTCGGGGCGCCGGATTCTGTCCCGGTTGCCCCTCTTCCAGGCCAGCTCTCTGCTGTGGCCTGGGAAGGCAGTGGAGGATGGCCCAAGTGCTTGGGCCCTGCACCCAATGGGAGACCAGGAGAAGTACCTGGCTCCTGCCATCGGATCAGCACGGTGCGCCGGCTGCAGCGTGCCGGCTGCGGCGGCCATTGGAGGGTGAACCAACTGCAAAAAGGAAGACCTTTCTCTCTGTCTCTCTCTCTCACTGTCCACTCTGCCTGTCAAAAAAAAAAAAAAAAAAAAAAAAAAAAGAAAGAAAGAAAATTAAATACGTACATGTGATGTAAATATATAGTGTATATCATCTAGATCTAGATACACAATTATGAGCTTTTGTCACTAAGAGGCACATTGCAAAATCTCAGTGTTACAGTCCCATCAGATGTGCTTGCTTTGAAGTTTAATTGCTGCTGTACTGTGTGATAAAGGAGGTACATGATGTTCAGCTCATCTCATTTCACCTTAGGCTCAGACTAAATTATCAGTTTTTATACTCCCTTGCTGGAGTACTACAGATGGTACAGGTTTTGGGAATCCTGAGTAGTCTGAAGTCATCCTTTAGTAGCTTTTTAAAATGGCTTAAATCTATTGCCCAGTAACAGTGGGAAACCAATATTCTCTTCCTTTTTTCTAAAGATTTTTAAAGAATTTGTTGTTTGACATCTTTCATTCTGAATTCCTTCTCCTATTGAATTCTTTATTAACCTCCACAACATTGCTCCTGATTTTGCAATTTTCACTTCACTGAATGTGTCTCTGGGATTTTAAAAACAAAAATGTCCAAAGAATAATTTTGACTGATAATTATGCAGAAACTAGCATATATACTCTCAGGGTCGCCTTTGCCCTTCATATGAAACAGCACTTTGTTACACAACTTGATAATTAAGACACATTTTTTCCACGTACCTATCAACTTAAATCCTGATTTACTTTTATTTTAGATATAAAAGTTCCAGAATTATATGTAACTGAAAGAAGTGCTCTTTGACTTATATTCCACTGCAAAATCCCTGTTTATTTCATTTATTCCTTATCCTAACATATTCAAAGTTTGATCACATATAAGTCAGAATTAAAGAAATGTTTTAGTGCATCTTTAACCTAAAATATAGAACTCTTAAAAAGCCTTAAATAAACTTTGGTTACTATAACACAGCTTATTATTTTTATAGCATTTACAACATTTTCCTGAAGTAAAATTGGATTATCATGATAGAATGCCCCGTATTTGTGGTTTTCTGTTCAAATAACTATCAATTAAAATATGACAACTTTTTCTGTTATTATATTTATAGTCATATTGATGGAGCTTCACTTTATTTACAGAATTATATTGATTTTTCAAGTTCCTAAAAGGCACTTGGAAAGGACGGTAATGGAATGGATAGATGCGTTGCCTTGTAGATCAATCAGTGAGAATTTCATGGATTGTAAAGTGAGGACATATTTACTGAGGTCAGCATTTTTGTTCCTGCTGCTGCTTCTGGAACTGCAGCCAGAAGCTTATTAGTACTAGCTACATAATTTCTGGAATAGCAAGCGAGTAAGAGCACAATATGGCAGAGTTTCTTGGCAGGAAATTGTATTCTCTTAACTGCTTTAATTCTTTTGATTGCATTAGGGGCAGCTCATCTCTGATGAAATGCTCTCAGCCAAGACCTAGGAATATATCAAATAAGAGCTGATGCCTCATTTCTTTGAGCAGAGCACTCAATTGCAAAAATAGTCATGGATGAAACTTAAGTGCAGTTACAATATAAATTAAAAAGCTAAACACTTTTAGTAATATTTTATTCCTTTATTTTTTTACAGAATATGATATTGCTACTACCAGGTTTATGCACGCATGTGAGTAAATATGTGAACTTGTATAAATGTGTGTGTGTTTACATTCAAATAATGTAACTCTGTTGCAGTCATGTGACATTTATGCTTGTGTAAACACAGTTGAATCTGATGTTCAGCAGTGTAAGTAGGAAATTTTACATTTTCTAGAAGTTGCAAGCATGATAAAACTATTATACAAGTCCAGAAAATAAAGTGCTTTAGCAACAAAGATTGAGTATGGTGACAAATCATTGGAGGTGAAATTGGCTTTCTGTCGAAAAAAGTAATACAAATGAGAGAGCAAACAAATGACAACCATCAATGAAAGTGATACAATTCTCCTCCTTTGAACTGATATTATGGAATTATATATCATAAAATTTAATGGAATTCAAGATATGAAAGTTCGTAGATGAAGCAACCTAAACCAATGGGAAGGCTTAGGCCAATGGAAAGTTAGTGCAGTGACTGGTGGCTCATTCCAGGCAAAACTGACAATGACCTCCTGCTTCAGCCATGATTCACCATGTGTGCAGAAGGCTTTGTAGGGGCATTAAGAAAACGAAATAAAACATCAGTGCCGGAAGATAATGAGTTTTGTAGCTAGAATCATCTAAGAAATTTCAATATGTATTCCAGACTTCAAAATTAGTGTTTGTCATATATACCTATGTTATATTTTCTGTTAAATATATTTCTTGACTACTTTTTAAGAGTGTTATATTCAAATGTCCAGAATTTAAAGGGTAAAAAAATTGGGAGTAGGAATGGAAAACTGTGCCAGCATTTAATGATTCTACTTGGAAGAACTGAGGATATATCACACATATTGTTGTGCTAAAAAGGGTTTTGTTATCTAATTGAATTATTTGTCCCAAACTCTTTGGTGATCTGTATCTCATTGTACTGTTGCATCTTATGCTGCTTAAATTCACAGAAACAAAATGCTAGTAAATGCCACTCTTTTTCCTGCCTTCCCAGAAACAGATAGATTTCTAGGAAGAAAGCATCATTTCTGAAGTCTACTCTCAGAGCATTCTTCTAGGATCTGAGAGTAAATGGAAAGATTAAAAAGGAATTGAAGAATTTGAATATATAGATAATTCATTCTTTGACCTTTAGACAATTTACTTAACCTCTTTAAACTTAAATCACTTTTTTACAAAATGGGAAGGTTAAATTCATAAGCCCTAAAGCTTAAGAGGCCTATGATATTATACAGAGGACACCAGACCATATTCCTACTATTTAACTGTAATGTTGTACTCATTGACCAGCAACACCCCATCCCTCCTACCTCCAACCCTCTTCACCTTCTGATAACCACTCTTCTACCTTCTACTCCTATAAGATCAAGTCTTTCAGGTTCCACATTTAAATGACATAATGCTGCATTAATCTTTTTTGTTGGGCTTATTTCTATTACACATATGGTGATTATGTAACAATGATATATTTTGTATTGCAAAATAACTAGAAGAGAGGATTTTGAATTTTCTTACCATAAAGAAATAATAAATGTTTGGGATGATATATATGCTGAATACCCTGATTTGATCAATACAGAGTATATGCATATTTCAACATCACAAAATACCCCAAAATATGTATACTTGTGTGTCAACCAAAAATAATGTAATGCAAAACTATTCTACATTGGAATAGTCTTAAATTCAAGACAGCTGCCATTTCTATTTTTCCTATAATTTTATATATGACAAATATATAACATTTTATTTATTTATTTATTTGACAGGTAGAGTTACAGACAGTGAGAGAGACAGAGATAAAGGTCTTTCTTCCATTGGTTCACTCCCCAAATGGCTGCAACAGCTGAAGCTATGCTGATCCGAAGCCAGGAGCCAGGTGCCTCCTCCTGGTCTCCCATGCGGGTGCAGGGGCCTAAGCACTTGGGCCATCCTCCACTGCCTTCCCAGGCCACAGCAGAGAGCTGGACTGGAAGAGGAGCAACCGGAACTAGAAGCCGGTGCCCATATGCGGTGCCAGTGCTGCAGGCGGAGGATTAACCTAGTGTGCCATGGCGCCGGCCCCATATATAACCTTTCTGTTGTACCACTGTTTACTATTTGACTGACAACAATATGTCACTAGTTTCTTTTCCCTATACCTCATAAAATTGTGTCAAGAGCTCTTATAGATCTTTTCCATACAGCAGAGGGGATATTGTGAAGCATTAAAAATAAATATTATTTTGAAACCCTTTCCACAATGGCATATTGCTTGTTCTGAGACTTGAAAATTTCCATGTGTAAGAAAAGCTGGGAAAACAGAGCCAGTTTACGAGACTGGGAAGGACTCTGGTTGCCTAATACAAATAATTCACATTCTTGCTGCTGTACTAATGAGAACAGTTGCTGATGATAGAGGTACCAGATGTGTGTATGTGCATATAATTATATATATTTAATTGCTGTTAGAGATCCTGCATTTTAATAAATTTCCATTTATTTTGTAACATCACTATATTATGCTAATATTAAATGTGAATTTTGTTATAAAACATGTATTCGTTATAAAACATATATTTGTTGCACATTCACATTAAAATGTAAATTTTTATATGAAGCTTGATTATTTTGTGGGGTTTTTTGACACTGGTATTCAGAATGTTCTTACACAAATGTTTTGCAATTATGTGAGATGTTTACATTCCATGCAACATGAATTTTTTTCAAAAAGTATTTCCATTTACTTGAAATTCAGAGTGACACAGAGAGAGAAATAGAGAGAGAAATCATCCATGCTCTGATTCAGTGGACAAATGCCTGCAACATCTAGGGTTGGGCCATGTGGAAGCCAAGAGCCAGAAACTACAACTTGGTCTCCCGTGAGAATGATAGGAGTCCAAGGACTTGAACCATCATCCCTTGCTTCCCAGGATGCAGTAGCAGAATGCCTGAATGGAAGTGGAGTAGCTAGCAGATGAACCAGCACTGTGACATGGGATGCAGGTATCACAATCTGTGCTTTAATAATAGGCACCACGGGCCAGCACTGTGGCTCCCTTGGTTAATCCTCCACCTGCGGCGCCAGCATCCCATATGGGCACTGGGTTCTAGTCCCGGTTGCTCCTCTTCCAGTCCAGCTCTCTGCTGTGGCCTGGGAAGGCAGTGGAGGATGGCCCAAGTGTTTGGGCCCCTGCACACACATGGAAGACCAGGAGGAAGCACCTGGCTCCTGGCTTTGGATAGGTACAGTAACAGTCATAGCAGCCATTTGGGGAGTGAATCAACGGAAGGAAGACCTTTCTCTTTGTCTCTCTCACTGTCTATAATTCTATCTGTCAAATAAAAATATAATAGGCACCACAGTGCCACTAATAGCTACTTAGATGCTATCAAGAAATAGACTTCTTTCCCGTGGAGTTATTGAGTCTAATTGGAGATAAAGCATTAGATAATGCCCCATTTACAGTGGCTTAACTTATTTTTTGACTGTATAATGATTTGAAAGTATATCCATTCTATTTTCCACCTTCATTATGGTATTCAGCAGATTGCATGAGATATTCAACACTTTTTTATAAAATATGCTTTGTGTTAGAGATTTCACTCACCTTTAGGCTAATGTAAGTGGTGTGAACGCACTTAAGGTAAGGTAAGCTATGCTAGGCTAAGTTAGGATGTTCTTCACGTTAGATGTACTAAATGCAAGGTTGACTTACAACATTTTAAACTTATGATGGGTTTATTGTAACATAACCCTAACATAAAGTGAGACAAAGATAGAAATATGATATAGATAAATAAAAAGAATAATAATGTAAAGAAAAGAAAAGTAATAGAGTTTAAATCCACAAAGATGGGTTTATAGCAAACATGGGAATCATTGAGTTTAATTGGGGACAAAAAAAGCTAAAGCTACCATTTTTTCTGTGCAGGAAGTTTGCTTCTTGATCATTACTGTGCTTTAGGAATAATTTAGAAGAAGTGTATATAATATGATGAAATAGATACCTACAATATGAAGTCAAATTTGGAAGATATTTCCATAGCTGAATCAAACATGTGAAAAAAGAAACCAGAGAAAATACACCGCACTCACTGAAGTGGAATGGACAACAGCAGGGAGAAGACATTCCGAGGGTCACAATCTGGTGTCTGAGAAGTGGCGCTGGTGACAGTAATGGGCCATGCAGGAAATTAATGGATTTGACTAGGTTTTAAAAGGAAGATGTTTCATTTATTCTGGAAATAGAGAGTTGGGAATGGTAGTTTGCTATAAATATAAAGTTACCCTGCATGCATTTAGAAACACCAAAAGATGCTAGGGCTAGACGTAGACGTTAATGAGTCACCTTTATGACTGTGGTACAGTACAGTCAGAGAAGATGTCCTTGATAAAGAATAGAATGGATAGGGGCCAGTGCTGTGGCTTAGCCGGTAAAGCCACCGCTTGCAGTGCAGGCATCCCAGAGGGGCGCCAGTTTGAGTCCTGGCTGCTTCACTTCTGATCCAGCTCTCTGTTATGGCCTGGGAAAGCGATGGAAGATGGCCCAAGTCCTCAGGCCCCTGCACCCGCGTGGGAGACTCAGAAGAAGCTCCTAGCTCTTGGCTTTGAATCGGTGCAGCTCCGGCCGTTGTGGTCAATTAGGGAGTGAACCAGCAGATGGAAGACCTCTCTCTCTCTCTGCCTCTCCTTCTCTCTGTGTGTAACTCTGACTTTCAAATAAATAAATAAATATATTTTTAAAAAGAATAGAATGAACAAAGAAAATGAGATGTGATATTCATGTTAAATAATGTATTTACAGACTGGCAGGAGAAAGATAAGCCAGAGATACAAAGTGAACATAAAAATTAAGAGGCATTTCAAGAATCTGTTGAATCTAATTAGGAGACAAAGATTTTGGTTGTACTTGTGCAGATTACTCTTATTATTGTTATTATTTTCTTGTCATATTTTATTTGTCAAATCAGTAACTCTTTTAATCTGACTTTTGAGTACATATTTCTAAGTATTTATATATTTCTTTCCTGATTTATAAATGTCTTTTTAAA